TGTATCTACCCCCTTTGGCCCTCTACTGGGCATAGAGCCCAAAGAGGTCAAAGACAAAGAGAAGGTCCTATATATGTATAAATATTTATAGAAGCACTTTTTGCAGTAGCAAAAAAAAATTGCAACAGAATGTCTATCATTTGGGGAATGAAGGAACAAGCTTTGGTACATGAGTGTGATGGAATACTATTGCACCATAATATATGACGAATATGAAAGATTCAAAAAAGGGAAGGGAGAAGGAACCACACATTTATTAAGTACCTGTTAGGTACCAGGCACTTTGTTAAGCCATTTTATAAATATTCTCTCATCTGAAACTTGGGAAGACATGTATGAATCAATAGAAAGTGAAGCAAACAGAACCAAGGAAATAATTTCTATGATGACCACCGTGATGTAAATGGAAACAGCAGGGAAAGATTTCAAGATTCCGATCAATGAAATAACCAATCTTAATTCCTAAAGACTAACAAGGAAACTCTATGTCCGCAGAAAAGTGGTGGACTACAGGTGTGGAATGAGACATGTGTAGTCAGACATGGCGGGTATGTTGGTTGGTTTTTGCTTAACTGAACTTCTTTTCCATAGAAAAGGATTCTTTGGGGGTGACGAGGTTATTGAAAGGTACAGCAATTTTTTTAAAAGTTATCAATAAAATTTTATTTTCTTTAAAAAGCAGCAGGCAAACTGATAGGGTAGGGTGTTCAATGTGTTTGTCAAGTGACACCTCCTGTATGAAGTCTTCCCTAATTTCCACTGTGGGTCACAAGTTTCACTTTGGACCTCACATGGCATTCTGTCCTGCATCTAACATATTTATCACGTAATGTTTGTTTTTATAATAATATGTTTGTGTCTTATCCTCTTATTGGACTATGAGCTTTATGATGTTAGGAATGTTGTCTGACTTAGATTTTGAATCTCCTCAATGCCTGGCACAGGACATTGAACACAGTAGGTACTTAATAAATGCTTGATGAATGAATCACTGAATGAATGTCAAAGGCTGAGCAGCTGTGGTAGAGCTCTACCTGACTAGGATTAGGCCTCAGATTCCAAGCTGAGAGTGGGAGGCACCAGGTGTGTAGGGGGAGGGAAAGGAGATAGATGACAGATATTGGAAGGTATTGGAAGACAGAAATGGACAAGAATAGCAGCAGTCCTACAAGTTTTAGGTTGAGAAATAGGGCTATAAGTTGGTCGCAGCAAAGTGAGGGGCTGGGGGATGGGGCAGAGGGCTATTGCCAATCAGACATTGAACCATCAAAGATAACACAGAGCTTTAAGAGTTAGAGTTAGATGAGGGTTGTGATGGAGGCAGCTCACACTGGCTGGTGAGAGCCAATTGTTAAATTTTCAGCATGAGAAATTATACCTTGGAAACTGACAAATGTTACAAATCAGGGCTTGATTTATTGTTTTATTGATTGTATAGTATTAAGAAAGTGATGAAGAAAATTTTAAGAATGCAGATTAAACTTAAAAGTGTATAGGGAACGCATTTTTTTTTCAGAGAGCCAGATGTTAAACATTGGAAGGTATTTTAAAGATCCTCTAATATACCCCATAATTTTACAGAATTGAATTTTTGAATTCCAAAGCAATGAAGGGAATTACCCAAGGTAACACAGGGAATAAATGACAGTCAAGATTTGTCTAAGACCAGATTTGAACTCAGTATGAGGAGTATGACATCAGGCCCAATGCTCTGTACACTATGGCGCCACCTAGCTGCCCTCCATCATGCCTACCAGACTCAAAATCTATGTAGCTCCCTGACTCAGTTGGTTTGAGCATGATAGTAATATTTGAATAATACAAGCAAAGCAACAGCAGTTATGTAAAAAATACTACTGTGACAAAACTAATTTAGTTTATTGTATTGAGAGGTGGTAAGTGGTGTGATGTAATGAGTGGTAAGAACACTGAATGTAGAGTTAGGTGAGTGACTCTGAGAAAGTCCTCTGTTTACCTCACTTTCATCATCTGTCAAATGAGCTAGAGAAGGAAATGGCAAACGACTCCAATATCTTTGCCAAGAAAACCCCAAATGGGGTCACTGAAAAACAACTCAACAACAAGCCTCATATTTGAAATGAATGTCTCCCAGGCATCTCAAACCCAACATGTCCAAAACAGGATTCATCTTGCCTCCAAACTCACCCCTATTTCTGTGGAGGACACCGTCATCCTTCTAGTTACCCAATTACATAGAACTGATGCATTCCTCAGACTCCTCACTCTCTCACTTACCTCCCATATCCACTAAGTTATCCAAATCTTGTCTTTTCTACATTCATCCCATTCATCCCCTTAAAGGGGTCATCCTTTGACTCACTTCTTAAAGGGGCCTATTCACTGAAAGGGCGTTGCCTCACTCAAAGTGAGAACCTAGAAAAACCTTAGCTTAAAAGGGCCAGAGTCTCCCACTAGATTCTGGGCTGTCTCCAGTCAGTCTGATCGATATCTGGCCACTGGACCCAGATGGCTCTGGAGGAGAAAATGAGGCTGGTGACTTTGCACAGCCCTTCCTCATTCAAATCAAAGTCAATTGCAAGTCACGTCATCATCTCCCTGATGTCATGGTCCTCTTCAAGAATGAAAGAAACCACACAATCCCTTCTCACCACTCATACAGCCAAGCCCTCATCATCTCTCACCTAGACTATCACGAAGGCCTCCCGCTTGGTCTCCCATACTCAAACCTCTCTTCACTCCAATACGTCCTCTCCACCTCTACCAAAGTTACCTTCCTAAAGTGCTTTATACCCCAAAGAAGACACGGTTGGGTGATATTACCCAACATTCAACAAAATCCAATGGTTCCTATTACCTCTGGGATTTTTGTGTATGTATATATACATATTGATATTTCTATATTTTATGTGTGTAACACCAACTTCAGTATGCATACATACATATATATGTAAATATACATGCATACATATATACATATACACACTTTTCTATTTGACATTTAAAGTCTTTCAGAACCTAGTTCCAATGTACCCTCCCAGCCTTATTTCACATCACACCTATCTATACTCTTTAGTCCAGTCAAACTGGTCTTCCTGCTCTTCCTCACACCCAACACTCCATCTCCTCTACCCGATACTTTTCATTCAAAATGTTTTTTCATTCATTCATTCATTCATTCATTCATTCATTCATTCATTCATCCCACGTCTTTGTACTAGCTGTCCCCAGTGCCTGGAATGCTCTCCCTCCTCATAGGTGTGTATGTACGTATGTATTATACACACATAGTTTGGGGTTTCAAAGATGGTTTGGTCATTATTTTCCATTAGCCAGAGGATACAGATTATCTGGGCAGCATCATTCCAATTCCACAGCAGACCTGGCCAGTTTATTCCATTCACTTTCTACTGATCTCAAAGCACATCCATCCAGGCAGTCCAGGATAGAGAGTGTTTCTAGGTTCCCACCAATGTACCTCTTGGTTATCAAGTCTCTCCTGAGCAGCAGAAGTTGGAATGGCCCCCTCTCAGCCTACAAAGACTTTCATTCTGATCAGATACCAGCCCTTGCCAGAAGATAAAAATGCTACCAACACAGGAAACTTCCTAGAGTAATTTGCTATAAACTTACGTTAGAATTTAATACAAGACAAATCTGTCTTGGGCCTCATCCATGGGAGTTTAGTGTCAGTACCCAAAGGTCCAGTAATCCCCACTCTTGCCTGCCCCCTCCAAAAAAACCCAACCCCATTGCTACTATTGTATCACACAATCACAGAAACATCTCAGAGTTGGAAGGACTTTCAGCAGCCATCTGGTTCAACCCATACCAGACCAAGAATTCCCTCTATACCATAAGAGTCAAGCGGTTATCTGACCTTTCTCTGAAGACCTCCAGGGAGGGGGGAGCCCACTTAATTCTGGAGGCAGCCCACTCTGCTCTTGGTGAGCCCCTTTTTTTTCTAGAGGCAGTCCTAAATCGATCTCTTTAAAATATCCACTCTCTGTTCCTACTTCTGCCCTCTGGGGCCACAGAGAACAAAATGAATCCCTCTTCCACAGGACGATCCTTCAAATACCTGAGGATAGCTATAATTCCTCTCTCCTTTCCTCCTCTCCCCAAGTTTTCTCTTCACAATTCTAAACAACCCTAGTTCCTTACATTTCTGCTCATACAGCATGAATCCAAGGCCCTGCATCTTATCCATGGCCTTCCTAGACCTGAATACTGAACACAGTATTCCAGATGTGGTCTGAACAGGTCGTAGTCAAAGGAGCACTAAGACCATCCTAGGGCTGGATGCTATACCTCTGCTAATAAAAAACCTTAAGATGGCAACCATTTTCTTGGCAGCCATATCATACTCAGCTTGCAGTCCCCAGATCTTTTTCAGTCAAACTGCTATCTAATCCTTGCCCTCCATATGCACCTTGTACTTATGAACTTGATTTTTTTGAACCCAGGAGTTAAGGCTTTGCATTAGTCATTGAATTTCAAATATAAATTATTTTATTCAACCCAGTGTTCTAGACTCAGGAGCTTTTGAATCCTGACTTTGTCACCCAGGGCTTGAAGTCATCTATACATCTGATGATCATGCCATATGTCTTTATCCAAGGAAAGGACAAAAGTGTTAACCATTAGGGCCAAGCATAAGTCCTTGGGGCATTCCACTGGAGACCTTTCAAGTTGACCTCTTGGTTCTAGTTTACCACAATTTATAAATTAAGTATAGAACAAGAAATTGGGCTCTGGAATCCTCAAAAAATGATTTCAAAGAAGCTGTTCTCAGGCCCATAGGGAGGTTACAAATTCCCTCACATCCTTTTGGGTCAAATTCAGGGAGAGTGTGGTAGGTATGGTGGGTATGAGAGAAGGCACAGAGAAACCAACTTACAAAAGGCATGTGACTTAGAAGGATTCCCTAATGAAAGAAGACTGTCCCAGCAGAGAGTAAGGACCATACCAATGGCTTCAACAGTTTAGAATGGAAATAGATGGGAGGAAAGGATGCCTACCTGGACTTCCCGTGTATGGTAGGCGATGATCAAACCCAGAAGGATGATGGTGGACAGACTGATAAGGCATTTCAGGGCCAAAGAAAACATGGAATCCTGAAAGAGAAAAATGAAAGAGAGAATTAGAAGATGAGAGGAGCAGGGACAGGGTGGAAGAAACAATCTTATGTTACTCCGGGATATGAGGGGAAGGACTGACTGTATACCAGGTAGGTGCCCAGAGGGGTGTGATATTTCAGGAGGCTCTAAGAGTAGGGATGACCATGGAACCTTTGGAAATGGGTTAGTACTTCCTAAAACCTGCTTTCATAAGAACTTAGAATTAGAATCAAAAGGGATCTTACAGGCCATTGAATCCAACTCTATTTTTACAGATGAGGAAACTGAAGCATAGAGAGGCTAAATAACTTAGCCAAGGTCACACAGGTAGCAAGTAGAAGACAGGATTTGAACTCACATCCCCCAAACCCAATTGCCATTATATCATACTCTTTTCACTTCTGGCCTATGGCTCAAAGAAAGGACTAGTGAGTAAGAAGAGGGGAACAGAATAGGGAAGATATGGTAGGCAACAAAAGTGGAATTCTACAGCCAAAAACCAGAGCCCATTTGAAGGTGGAAGTTGGATGGTGCCTCCTTAGCAGCATTCTGGCCTGCACTCCTTTGCTGTGGTTCTACCTTCTACATCCCCTGAAGAGGAGGTGGGAGACAGCTAGGTGGGGCAGTGGATAGAACTCCAGCCTTGGAGTTAGGAGGACCTGAGTTCAAATCTGGCCTCAGACACTTGATACTTACTAGCT